ATGTACGAGTATAATAGTGTTATGATGTACGAGTATAATAGTGTTATGATGTACGAGTATAAATGATAGTGTTATGTCGACACTGATGGTAAATATACACTATCGTGTACAGGAGGTACAGTACATGAACAGCGAGCTGATTACGGCATTCTTATCTTTACAGGTTAAATATGGACCAACTTGAGCGCTAGAGGCGACCTACCTGTAGTCCGAGACGGAAGGGGTACACTCCGGTGAGGATGCTGCTTCTTGATCTGTGGAGAGTACAAATTATATTTAGGCGGGGATACAAACAATTCACAAAATTGATTTCAACAATAATGGGTATCACTGATTGGTAATTTATACTTATATACCCCACCCTCCACCACCACCACCACCACCACCACCACCACCACCACCAACTCCGTCCATGTGGTGTTTATATCATATAATTATAATATTACAGAAATATGTCAGGAATCTTGATTTCTCCAGAAATCACAAGGCTCTTGGCAGTATTTGTTTGATATATATACACGTAGAAGAGAAAGTAAGACGTTTCCTTTAGAAATGTCTCTTCCTAACTATCTATTTGATCTATTCTAACCAAGATTTCGGAAATATACATGTACCTCATACGGTAGAAACGTAAAATATCCAGGAAAATAAAAAAGGTTTGCATGGTTATCATTAATTGCTACATGTGGACAATGCTTAGACCACGTCCATGACCTGTATATAGTGCTGGAGTGATGACCCTGGTTAGTATAGAGTGAGGGAGCGATGACCCTGGTCACCTGACAGATCACACCACGTGTGTTTGTTGTCTCACTGCTGACCACGTGCACACTACCCAGAGGGGTAGACAGGTGAGATACGGGCAGGCTAGCAAACACTGTTTCATGTATACAGATTCGTCATAGGAGAGCTAATGACACATACTGTCGATTGTTTTTTTTATCAAAAACATCAGCATGGTCACAGATGCAGCTTTCTGAACTCTACATAAACTCTTGTTTTCGAACAAGATAAGTTACACATACGGCACAGGCGTACCCGTACTACAATGCATGTATCGTTCTTGTGGTAGGGAAAAAACGAGTATCCGATTTTCCCAGACTAATCATGTGTCATGACAGCGAAGTCCCGTGAAACGTAATGAGTTGAGGGGACACAACGATTTGTGTACCTATCGCAATGGCAATACTAATTATAACGAAATATTAGTATAGAAAATCAGCCTAAAGCGCCATTGTTGTCGTCAGCTTCAGTCGCTCGGAACTAAGGTTTGCTGTATTTTGCTTATTTTCTGTATAAGCTCTGAATAACGGAAATTATTACCAAGAAAACTCGAGTGAGTTAGGAGAACACGGTGATTTATTTTCGAGTCAGGTGATCAATATAATCCAATCAGACACGTGGTTATATAGATGAGGTATACTAATATTATGTTCAGACAACAGACACCCGAACAACTGAAACAACAATATCGAACTATATAATTGATTGAATGTAGGTAATAGGGTGGCTGGTCCAACTCTCTCGCCGATCAGTACGAAACGCCAGTTTTGAAGTTCAGCCGACTGTGTGTGTCGTTTTTAATTTACGTTTGGATCCATGAACACATTCAACTCATCACATCCGCGTAGCGTCATTTAAGTTGTAACGACGTAGCGTCATTTAAGTTGTAACGACGAGGCAATGACGTTGAACCAACATTGAAGTTTTTATTTCTATTTTCACAAATATAGTTTGTCTAAATCCAATTTCAATTAAATGAACACATCTGCGATAGGAAACTGATGTTAATTTATCTGAAATCTGTTTCATAACATGAAATCTTAGTATACAGACTGGGTTCTTCCTCTTAAAGTCCACGACAATCAAGCTCTTCATATTTCCTTTACAAAAGATAATTCATTTATCTTGGTACAATTTAAAGAGGTTTATAAACAAATTTCAAAAGGGTTTTTATAACGATCATGTTTCGCTGACATAGCAGTTTTATTTCGGTACAAGATTTTTTATTTTTGAAGATGATATTTTGGAATTTGTCCTACTTTAAGTGAGTAATCCTACATAAAGCCCGCCTAGGTAATGTTTGTGAGTAATCCTACATAAAGCCCGCCTAGGTGATGTTTGTAAGGTTACCATGTTCTCTGGTTATCAAACTTCATCTATATGTCGAATTTTACAAATTGATACCCTTGGAAGCTTTTTCCAGAAATGTGAGTATTTTTAAAGTATTACGACTGATTGTTAGCTCTATATGTTACTGGGTCAAACTATGTTTCTCTGTTAGAACCTGTCTTGGTACAACGGGGTTAATATCAATATAAACTGAGTCCGTGGTGTGATCCGGGGTCTCTATAGGAATCCACAGCGGGTCTGTAATGCTACGTTTACATTATGTTCCCGGTGCCACGGCAATCACGTTTTAGGCCAACGTGGACAAAACGGGATGGACGTGAGATAACGCGGGGGGGAGGGATGGGCCAACGTGACAGGCCGTGATTGCCGTGGTTGCCGGGCCAGATTTTTTTAACTGTCATAAAATTTGCCACGGCAGTCACGGTGCGGATGAGAAACCTAGTAGACGGTAGTAAAACCGGGTGAACGCAACAAAACGTGACAGTACGTAATAGGCCGTAATATAACTTGGAGGCTGTCCGTAGTGGGACGGGAAGCATGTGTATTTCCCGGCATCTCGCGGTCCTTTCAAGTTTTGTCAAGTTCTATCGCGTTTAGTGCGTGTTCTGTCACGGTTGGTTCACGAATGCTGCGCGTTTTGTCCCGTTTTGCCACGTTTTGTCACTGTTTTCACGACAAGCTATAGTGTATGGTAGCTGTTTTGTCGCGTTCAATCCGCAGCGTCCAGGTGTGTGACGGTTTGCAGGCCCGGCGCGTTGCGTTCTACTACGGTCTGACACGGCGCGCCCGCGCGGTCTGGTAGGGAGTATATAAAAGGCAAAATCCCATGGCGCCTTGGAGCCTTCGGGACTCAGCAGCCCCTTTCCCCCCACGGCCTGTCACGGACACCGTGACAGACCGTGGGAAAACTTGCCAAGACTTGAATTCAGAGAAAAAAATGCCAAAATCCCACGGCGCACTACGTTTCGGGCAAACGGGACTGCCGTGGCTGCTGGAAACATAATGCAAACGTAGTATAATGGGACCAAGATTATATAAATGAATACAGAACGCAGTTCGAATGAATATGTTTCTCGTAGTAGACTTGTTGCTGTAAAGTGAACTTACGGAGTGCAAGTTGGATGGACATACGACGAGTTGAGAATCACACCTTCCCTGGCCAGGCGGTTTATAGTGGGCGTCCGCATGTATCGGTTATGCCAGCCGACGTCGTTCCAACCTATAACACAGAGTCGTGACGTCAGCAGTGTCTATAATTATACATTGATCCATCCTTACTCTTAAGCAATACAACAGCAATTTTGTGTGCTATAATACACCCTGAAATATACTCCTTCCCTTCCTATTATTTATTGCAGTTTATTGTAGGCCCATCGAATCGACTCCTTTAATCTTTGAAACGAGACAAAACCTTTCGCATTTTTATTCATTAACAGAGGTCATTCACATAAGCTATTTTTACTACATTCGGTTGAGTTGTATGCCTATAATTGGGCAATGATCGACATTTTCAGTTTATACCGTATAAACATAAAAAAACAGACAACGCAAACATGGATGCCGTCGTATTCCACAATGTCTTGGCATTTATTGCCGGAAGGGGCCCGTCGTATACCACATTGTTTGGCCACTAATTGCCTGAAGTGGTCCGTCGTATACCACAATGTCTGGGCACTAATTGCCTGAAGTGGTCCGTCGTATACCACAATGTCTTGGCATTAATTGCCTGAAGTGGCCCGTCGTATACCACATTGTTTGGCCACTAATTGCCTGAAGTGGCCCGCCGTATACCACAATGTTTGGGCACTAATTGCCTGAAGTGGTCCGTCGTATACCACAATGTCTGGGCACTAATTGCCTGAAGTTGTCCGTCGTATACCACAATGTCTTGGCATTAATTGCCTGAAGTGGCCCGTCGTATACCACATTGTTTGGCCACTAATTGCCTGAAGTGGCCCGCCGTATACCACAATGTTTGGGCACTAATTGCCTGAAGTGGTCCGTCGTATACCACAATGTTTGGGCACTAATTGCCTGAAGTGGTCCGTCGTATACCACAATGTTTGGGCACTAATTGCCTGAAGTTGTCCGTCGTATACCACAATGTTTGGGCACTAATTGCCTGAAGTGGTCCGTCGTATACCACAATGTTTGGGCACTAATTGCCTGAAGTGGTCCGTCGTATACCACAATGTTTGGGCACTAATTGCCTGAAGTGGTCCGTCGTATACCACAATGTTTGGGCACTAATTGCCTGAAGTGGTCCGTCGTATACCACAATGTTTGGGCACTAATTGCCTGAAGTGGTCCGTCGTATACCACAATGTTTGGGCACTAATTGCCTGAAGTGGTCCGTCGTATACCACAATGTTTGGGCACTAATTGCCTGAAGTGGTCCGTCGTATACCACAATGTTTGGGCACTAATTGCCTGAAGTGGTCCGTCGTATACCACAATGTTTGGGCACTAATTGCCTGAAGTGGTCCGTCGTATACCACAATGTTTGGGCACTAATTGCCTGAAGTGGTCCGTCGTATACCACAATGTTTGGGCACTAATTGCCTGAAGTGGTCCGTCGTATACCACAATGTTTGGGCACTAATTGCCTGAAGTGGTCCGTCGTATACCACAATGTTTGGGCACTAATTGCCTGAAGTGGTCCGTCGTATACCACAATGTTTGGGCACTAATTGCCTGAAGTGGTCCGCCGTATACCACAATGTTTGGGCACTAATTGCCTGAAGTGGTCCGTCGTATACCACAATGTTTGGGCACTAATTGCCTGAAGTGGTCCGTCGTATACCACAATGTTTGGGCACTAATTGCCTGAAGTGGTCCGTCGTATACCACAATGTTTGGGCACTAATTGCCTGAAGTGGTCCGTCGTATACCACAATGTTTGGGCACTAATTGCCTGAAGTGGTCCGTCGTATACCACAATGTTTGGGCACTAATTGCCTGAAGTGGTCCGCCGTATACCACAATGTTTGGGCACTAATTGCCTGAAGTGGTCCGTCGTATACCACAATGTTTGGGCACTAATTGCCTGAAGTGGTCCGTCGTATACCACAATGTTTGGGCACTAATTGCCTGAAGTGGTCCGTCGTATACCACAATGTTTGGGCACTAATTGCCTGAAGTGGCCCACCGTATACCACAATGTTTGGGCACTAATTGCCTGAAGTGGTCCGTCGTATACCACATTGTTTGGGCACTAATTGCCTGAAGTGTACCGCCGTATACCACAATGTTCTGGCACTAATTGCCTGCAGTGGCTCGGCGAAGAAATTACAACCCAATGTTGTTTTTTTAGCAAAACTCTTTCTTTTTTTTATCAGAAATGAATAAATATTCATGAACTATTTATTCAAAAGTATTGTCTATCTTTTTAAATTAGATTATAAGGAATAACCAGAATTATCCTGGGGGTTCTACGATATAAACCTAATACTTACAGTACATTATGTATACCGTTAGACCGTATAACACCCCCCCCCCCCCCCCCCACCCCCCCCAAAAAAAAAAAAATCCTGGATATTTCTTAATTATCTATTATTATTTTCAGTTTTGATATCGCCATTTTCTTAGCATTGTTTCAGGAATTACAGGAATGATTTACAGATGAACGGAAGAAAAAGTAACGAGTGTAGGATCAACGACAGTTGGGTATTCATCGCACCTCGATTGGGCACGTTCAACGTTATACCCCATGTTAGACATTTCTGTCTCATTCGATCAGTCTGGTACCTTTACGTGATATTCGCCGCGATAATTAACATGGTGATTAAACCGCGATCTACACTAACTACCCGTATGTAAAATACGTAATTTTGTCATTAAAGGTTTTGTTGTGATGTTTTTTTATTCTCGAAATTGTGCATTATAAATAAATAAACAGAAGTACATGAACCACGGACTACATTGCGCGGAAGCATTTAAACACGGCTTTAGAAGTGCAAAGGCCATATTAATCTGAAGTTCCAGCCGAGATAATTGTAAACTATGGCGAAATTAGATATATTTCAACTATTTAATTGCGATGAAAACTGAGCGAGATCGGATTATCTCTCCATATTTTAGCTTGCGCATCGGTTGGGATGATGTCAAAAAATCGTAGCGAGTTCGCAGGCTGACTCAATTATAGGTTATACATTTTAGGTTTTATTTAAGTGGAACTACGACGAACAAGTGACCGGGGTATAATGCAACTCTCTGGCGACCGACGACAGAATCGTATTTACGAACACAAACCTTCAGTAGTAGTTGAATAGATATACGTTTGTACAGGCGCCTTTATCTTAATGACAACAAATGTATTTTCTTTCTTTACTTCTCAGCTTTACTTTCTGTTTCTGTGAATATCTAAAAGACAGTTAAGTGGTAAAGATAAAGATGACTATTTTGGCTGTGACGTACAAGTTAAATGTGTCCCTTCTGTATACTTTGATGTACGTCTATATATATAAAGTAGTTTCGTGACCTGGTCACCATGTCTGTCCGTAGGTTACAAACGAGTACGCCTTGACGACAAAGTTACAACATATATATACTAGCAACGGACCGTGACAGTAACTACCGCCCGTGTAGGAAGCTTCAGTTAGCCACGGACCGTGACAGTAACTACCGCCCGTGTAGGAGTGACAGTAACTACCGCCCGTGTAGGAAGCTTCAGATCTATAACCATAGCACATTGTCTGCTACTTTATCAGGAGTCAGCATTATTTTATGAAGTATGTCATAATATAAAAAAAAAACACTCACAAAAAAACGCCCGATGCCGGAAATTTCTTCAATAAAAACCGTTTTAGACCCAGTAGTGTAACAGGATAGGGGTAAATGCGTTTTACTATGTGTTGAAAATTTCCAACATGCAAAGTCCAGGTCATAAATACACATAAGAGTCTAAAGTCCATGTGATTTAGTACGTGACTAAGGAAGCGTAACGAAGTACGTGACGATGTCTATTGCAAATCAGATTCTTAGTTGAAAACGAGCCTTATTGGTATAGATATCCTGTATGTGGAAATTTCACATGATTATTTACCAAAAACATATTAAAAGATAAAACTGGTGACAAAGAAGTAATGTGAGTTACGCGTGAAGCGTGTTGCACTGGTTCCGGATGACTTAGCATTAAAAATAATTATACATTACTTTTACCCTATCACACCTTTACACGGCTTTAAATACATCTCGTTTTAACAAACAACGTTCAGTTAAGACTCTCTTATAAGTTGACATTATAAATGCATGCACATGCGTTATATTAAATTTAACAATATACATGTACAACCCATAGGGACCTGAGAATTGTTATATTATATCTATGGTTGAACCTTCTTATTCAAGTATTTCAATCATATATATATATATATATATACAATATATGGGCGATGAAGTAATTCCAAAGGTGTGGACAAGTTTAGGTTGTCAAATTTTCGGAGCGATCCGCTCCTTTATCAAGATCGCTCCGAAAATTTGATAACCTAAACTTGTCCACACTGTAGGAATTACTTCTTTGCCCCATATACTATTTTAAGTAATTCGTATCCTACGGACATACCTCCATTAGGATCCAGTGTTATATGGGATTTTACCGTCTATATTACTTCTTTGACTCACATATATACAATATATATACATATAATACATGTTGTAACAAAACACATGGTACAAAATAGGAAATAGAAACATGTGTCTCAGACACTTATGTAAATCTATCACCTTATCATCAACTGCAAATTATATTCAGAATGGACATCATATTGTTAGCAATTAAAGAACATACAATAACACAATCAGTGACAATGGTTTAATTGACGTATTTAGAGTAATAGTATAGATGTTCTAGGTGGGGTGAGACCAACTCTCAGTAATAATACCACCCAATGGTGGTTGTTACAGTTGATTCAAAACCCTTAAATATGTCTACTCTGCACACTCCAGTTCAGGTACAAACAAAGCTATAGTGTAGCAAATTATCAAGTCCCTGTGTTCTTAAATCACAAGTGTACTTCATATTAGGCAAGATATGGATATTAAAAACATAACCGATGTTGTTACGATCAGTTCCTTTTCACAGGATATGTGGAGCAATCGAACGTCTGACGACAAAGGATAGAAATGTGTGGACCTGCTGTGTCTTCGTAGCTCTCTGTGATATGTTACATTAAGCATTCCGTGAATTTGTTTACTGGTCCCATTCCCCCAAAAGAT